ACACTTTCTCAAAGCCAATCACGCACTTGATATCATTAATTGTCACCTAAGTTGCTCGGACTCGGGTGCGGATGTCTGATACGGATGCAGATCTAGAGGTCGGATCCTTCATGATCTAAATTTTAAGATTCGGCGGTACGGATTCAAATATGGATACGGGTGCTGGGATTCGGCTAAAAATAATTTAAATATCTTAAGGTAGAGTTATAAAAATATGTCTAAATTATGAGACATTATTTGGAAAACATACAAGGTGTTCCAGAGAGAAGAAAATAGTGATCAAGAGGAGAACCCGAGAAGAAGACTAAAAAAAGGACTAACATAGAAATTTCTTATATACAAAGTATTCCATTCTTCAATTTCACCCTAGCCTTTATTTTGATTTCAAAAAATCATTGCATCTTCCCGAATTTATCCGTTGATTTTGGTCAAAGTATCCAAAATCGGTTGACCATACCAGGTACGGATCCCATACCCACGTTGTGTCGACACAGGTGCGGCACCGAAAGTGAAGAGTCCGAGCAATTTAGATTGTCACAATATTTTGTTTTTATCATGTGATCGCATAGACCATTTCATATATGGAACAAAAAATGCTTATTTATGTCATATATGTCCAGATGGATTGTCAATATAAAAAGTTTGAGATAGAAAGGAATAAATAAATAAATAGAGAGAAATTAAATTCAAATTTTGAAGGTGCCCCTTTAATCATAATGCTAAATTGTTGGCCTCGGAGATGCAAAACTGCCTCAGATCTCATCAGCTTAGCAACGATTATTGAGCGAAATGGAGTTACGTGTCTACCAAACCATCATGTAAACAAAGCGGTTTAATGGGAAGATGAATCGACTATCACCTAGCATTCATGCCACAACAATAAAATATTTCCACAATTCAAAAATGCCAAATCCAGCCAAAACACCTCAAGGGAACTTGTTGAACTTTTTTCCTTCTACACCAAACATACCATTTGGGCAGTAACATAAATGAGCTAAATTCATGAAGCATTAAATACCAATTGTTAATTGCGGCACTTTCAAAAGCATTTAATACCAGAATCTTGGAATCTAACATAACATCCAATAGTCATTGTTGAAATTGTAATAAATAAATAAATAAAACACTAGATAAAGTTTGAAGCATGCACCTGGAATATTTCAGCAATGCTCTTCTTTTTACTACCTAGTCCTAGTCCCGGCAAACCAATCAGCCCATCACCACCCCATTCCACTGAACCCTGCAATTTATCCGTCTCGTTCTCGGTCTCTGCTTTTTTCGAGTTAAATCCTGGAGGCATGGGTGACCTCCTACCATTACCATTATTATCATTCTTGTTTACGTTCCTCCTATCACCAATAGCGGAGCTCCCTCCTTGCAACCTCTGCGAAAACCGCCAATCTTCTTTGGACAAAAGTGGTGGAGGCAACCTAGGATTAAGATTTACGTTGGAGTAATAGTAAGATAAGTAAGCAGGATCAGACCTAAGCTCCTCCTCAGACATGAAACCATTATTGTTAAACAATCCGCCTACTGCACTCAATGAACCCTCAACAGTAGGTGGAGCTGAGCCACTTCTATACATATTCAGCTCCTTTTCGCGATCGTCAGCATCTTGTCTTCGCTGATCATGAAGTAACATCCCAATCTCTTTCTCAAACTCATCTCCAAATGAATTTTCATTGTTCCCAACCATCGGTCTCCTACCCAAATCAGATACCATCTTCACTCACTAATTCCACAACAAATATAATCAATACCCACAAGCCTTAACAACCCAAGAAAGCTATTCAAAATCAAAACTTTGTCATATATATAAACCTTAAAAACTACAAAACCCCACGTGCACAACCTCAAAATCAAACCTTTAAGCTCATAAAAATCCAATCTTTGATCAAATAAAATAGTACCAAGAAAACTCCATGATCAAACACCAATTATATACTCGATTCTACAACAAATATAATCAGTACCCACAAAACCTAGCAACCAAAGAAAGGTAAAAGAGTCAAAACTTTATCATATAAACCTTAAAACTACAAAAACCTACATGTATAAGCTGAAAATTGAAGCTTTGGTGTTGATAAAAATCCCATCTTTGACTAATTAAACTCCAAGAAAGTTCATTTTTCTCAACATAGAGCAGGTAAAGAAAACTGTTAGCTAATAAGAGAGGTGATGAAGGTTAAATGGGAGACAGGAGAATAAAAAATCTGGCGGCGAATCAATCCCTTTTAGGGTTTTGTTTTTTGAAGTAAGTATTAGGTAAGAAATGATTAAATGCGAAAAAAAAGTTTTATTCCATAGGTGTTTATATGAGCATAAAAGAGGAAAAAATTCTTTAGCCTATGTTTTGAGAGCTGTACCTACTAAAACAAAGTCAAATACTTAAAAGAGTGTTAAGATAATTTAAAAATATTTATACAATTATGCCACAGATCAAATTTATGATAAAATAGTAATCAGTAATATAATAAAACTAATAATTAATATGATGTAGTAGGCAGAGGCGGCTCAACACAGTTCGGGGCCTAAAGTCAAACTGTAATGAAGGCCTTAAGTTCCTTTAAAAAAAATTATATATATTTTATTTAAAATCCATTTTTCTAGGCAAATTAATAAAGTTAATTTAAAGTTTAAACTCTTCTCTTTTTTTGAAGTTTTACATAACCGATAAAGTGAAAATATAAAAAATGACAGATTTTAGATTAAAAAAATAGCCAAAAGTTAGAAAAATAGAACCTGATTCAATTGATAAGTTGATCCCAAATAACTTGTTAATACTTTTGTGCTTGAAAACCTGTAAAATCATTCTTGTAGATAATCATTCCCAAGTACAACATGCAAAAAAAGAAATGCTTGAAAAAAAAGAAAAAATTTATCATTAAATTTTTTTTTGTACTTACCAACTTTGTATTTTATCCACAAAGAAGGATCATAAGAGTCTTGTAGTTCTTTTAACAGGAAGGAATAAGAATTATCATAAAGCTTTTAACGTAGAAAAGAGGAAGGCAAGAAGGTTTCAACTTTGTAGTTGTGAAAAAATATGAAAAAAAAAAGAAGTCAATCCCAAAAAGGCAAAGATGGTAAAAAGTAATAATTCATATCCCCAATATGCAATAATTGTTCACATTAAATACATTAAAAGTAAACTTTTATTTTCCTTTTCCACGGCAAAATTATAGCTGTTCACATTAAATACTTAAATTTTCTAAAAGAAAAATAAATATATAAACCTAAAACTACTAAAAAGTGGGGCCTTTAAATTTATGGGGCCTAAAGCTCTTACCTTACCTGCCTTGGGGTTCAGCCGCTTCTGGTAGTAGGTTAAACATACTAACATGTAGGGATATTTATACCACTTAAGTGGATTTTTATCAATTCGGTTTATGCTGTTTTTGTCGGTTTTCAATTTTTTCGTTATTTTCTTAAATATGAGATATACATTACCGAGTACATATTCTGACAACTACATTCTAACATAACATTATCAAACTAATTACTCTTTGAGACAAATATTATTTATATATTGATGATAATTAAATTAAACTAAATAATGATAAATAATTTAAGAACTCAACTAAAGACATGTTATTTTTAATATGAAACAAATTCATGACTTAGCAAACTACCAACCAAACTAAAATATAAAGGTAAATACTAAATTATTATAAAGGCAAAAAACTAAACTACCAACTAGAAGCGCAATTATTAATATGTACCATATATTTTTTACAAGCTTTATATAAATATATATANTTCTTAAAGCTATAACTGAATAAATTTGATCGATTTTCAAAAATATCAATTTTCTTGTTGGTTTGATTTAATTTTTCGTTTTTTATGAACACTCATACTAACACAAAATAATATTTTTTTTCGTTCATAGTATAAGTTTGATCTTCTTCTTTTTTTCACTAGAAGATAGGAATAAATTAAAGGGGTTTTAACACAGTTACCCACAAAAATAAAACTATTTATCCTTGTCTACCCATTTATTTTCCTACCCATAAACTAATTACATTTCTTACCCATAATAGGTTTTGTGGGAAATTTTTTCTTTATTCTCCAATTCTTTTTTATTTCTATGCTTCTTTTCTTTTCTTTTTTCTTTTGTTTTCTTTTCTCCTTTTCTTTTTTCTCGTTTTCTTCTTATTTTTTTCTTTTTTCCTTTTCTAATTTCATTTAACCTCTTTTTTTATTGTTATTATTCCTTTTTTTATATTATTACTAAAAAAAGATCAAATTGTGTACCAATTAAATGTAGCTAATACAACCAAAAAATATTAACTAACACATGATACCAGTATAGTATATAGTTATACCAATAGGGTATACAATTGTACGCAAAGAGTTAAAAACTTTTAATTCAATTATTAAACTGAAATAATATCAGTTGTCAATAAAAAAATTAAAAAATGCTAAAAGGATCTAATTGTAAGAGTATACCGTTACATTATATAGCATACTATAATTTATTTTTTTATTTTTATTTTCAATTTGCCCCTCATGATGGGTAAAAACTTAAAACAAATTAAAAGGGAAAAAGCAAGTGAATTTACGGGTAATAAGTATACTATTATAGTATATTGTATAATATTACAACATATTGTTACAATATCTTGCATATTATTACAGTATACCATAACACTATATTGTATACTATAATGGGATACTATTGCAGTATAACTATATACTTCTATAGTATAATATTGTAGCTGTATATTGTTAGGTAGCTGTATTTTTCTTCGATTTTCAACTGAAAATTTCGATCTCAATCACCTCAAATCAGCTCCAAATGCTATCAAATTTCAGTATGAACTTCCAGAAGGTACTATAAGTAATATTTAACAGCACCTAGCCACCCACTTTGAATCAAACAAGAAATCTTCAAAAATAAAATTGAGCTTCAAGCCCAACAATGATGTATATTCAAATACACATAAAAATTTAGATTTGGGAAGCTTACTCGAAGATACTATAAGCAATATTTTATAGCACCACATCGAATCAAATAATCTTCAAAATAATAGCACCACTTCAACAAAGTAATCATGAAAGAAGAGATGAATGGTGGCAGAGCCAGAGGCAGGGGCATCTTTGAACATCTAGGAGGTTACTGAGCCAACGACAATTTCAACTTTAGAACAAGTCTTGGCATAGTAGTTAACGATGAATTGTCGAGGTCGTCGAAGGGTATTGATGGATGGAGAGTTGAGTTTGAATTGGAGGAAGGTAAGATGAGGAAGAAGAAGAAGAGGAACATAATAAAGGCGGGTGAATAATTTGGGGCGCATGGATAGGAGTAGTAAATAGTTTTAGGCTTAGGCATTGAAGGATAAATAGTTTGAAATTAATGGGTATAAAATGAGATTTTCTCTAAATTAAACATAACACGTCAACAGATTATCTTAGTTCTAACTTCGTTGGTAATCTCATGATTTTAAATTGTATATTAAGACATTTGCTTAGTATAATTCTTTAGATAAAAAAATAAAAATAAAAAAAGAAATTTGTAGAGAAATAAAGTGACGTTGGTATTCAATTATTCATAAAGAAGAATCTGCAAAAATGCCACGTCTACTCTTCAATTAGATTGGGGACTGCTCTTCTTAAATTCTTTGTCCTTCTTCAAGGCTTTTCAAGTATTTTGGGTACTTCTCTTGGCAAAATACCTTAAAACCCTCATAAACTTGAATTATTAGTTATAGTTTTAAATTGTTCGTGCTCTTAATTATCCCTTTAACTTGACCTTTTGAGAGCCATTATCCTCTGAACACTGATGTGACAAAAAGTATGGGTGCATTCACCTGTCACGTGGATTTTTCCTGTATATGTGATATTTTTGTGAAAATAAAATATATTTTTACCTTTTTAAGTATGTTACTTCTTTAGATAATTTTTTTTGAATACGATTTATACTAAAACTTGGATAAAACTACATTAATTAGGCTAAATATTTTTATTTGGCTAAAACTAATAAGGTTTTAGTTAACTTTTTTTTTTGAATTTGACATGAAAATAAAGATTTATACAATTGAAATAAATAGTCAAGGCATCTAAAAAGTTATAAAAAATGCACAATTTAAAATTAATTATTTTGGCTATAATTTTTTATATAGCTCTAAATTATGGTGCTCTAAAACTATATTTTTTACAGATTTTACCTGAAAAGGTAAAAATACACAGTTAAAATAAATAGTCATTGCATCAAAAGAAGAAATAAAAAGAGTGTACAATTTCTTCAACTGTGTACAATTTCTTCAACTATAAAAAGAGTGTACAATTTCTTCAACTGTGTACAATTTCTTCAACTATAAAAAGAGTGTACTCTTTTTATTTCTTCTTTTGATGCAATGACTATTTATTTCAACTGTGTATTTTTACATTTTCAAGTAAAATCTGTAAAAAAAAAATATTTTTAGAGTACCATAATTTAGAGCTATATAAAAAATTATAATCAAAATAATTAATCTCAAACTATATATTCTTTTTAACTTTTTAGATGTCTTGACTATTTATTTCAATTGTATAAATCTTTATTTTCAGGTCAAATTCAAAAAAGATTAACTAAAACTTTATTGTTTTTAGCCAAATAAAATTTTTTAGCCTAAATAATGTAGTTCTATCCAAGTTTTATCATAAATTGTATTCGAAAAAAATATCTAAAAAAGTAACATACTTAAAAAGGTAAAAATATATTTTATTTTTCAAAAAGAAAATACCACATATACAGGAAAAAACCATGTGGCAGGCGAGTGCACCCACACTCTTTGTCACATCAGCGTCTAGGGGGTAATGGCTCTCAAACGGCCAAATTGAGGGGGATAATTAAGACCACAAATAGTTTAAGGCTGTAACTAATAATCCGTGTCAAGTTTAAGAGGGTTTAAGATATTTTACCTATTCTCTTTTGTTTGGAAAAAGGATCTAACCAACGGGAAGGTGAAATGATTGAATATTTTAGCTTTTACTCGAAGATTTCGAGTTTAAATAAAAAAATAAAAAATCTTTGGTATGAAATGTTCTACTTCTTCTAATTACGTATTCGAATTAATCGGTCAATAAATATTTAAAATACAAATTTCCTTTTTTGTTATGGCAACTAGTAGTCGTACCCGTGTAATGCACGGTCAATATTAAAAAATATTAATTAAAGTAAATTGTGATCGGGCTTGTTTGAACATATTAAATTGTGTTGCTTTAATAAATTTCAATTGTCGTCTTATTTGTTAATATAATGTACCCAATAATAAAATTTCTATTAAATTAAAGGGACTTAT